GGGGGGGGGCTGGAAGGATCAGGGAGGTATTTAAATGCCTCCCCGTGCCTTCCCCAGCCTGTCCAAGGGCCAGCTTGGCCGGGCTCCCCACATCCGAGGGGCGCCCGCGCAAGCCAAGGGAAGGCATGGGGGTGTGGCCTAATATGTTAACGAGCTTCTGCTGTTGGGTGTGACCTATTATGCTAATGAGTCCCTGCTGGGCTTTTTCTACAAAAAAAGCCCTGGGTATATATATTCACTACATGCAACATCAACAATAATCATCAGTTTGTACAATCTAATGGCTACCAGTCAATTTACATCCTTTTTATACAATCAACCCCAACGGGAGTTTCTAGAATTGTACACCCGCTTCTCCTTGCTTGAAAGTTTTCTAAAGGGGGAAGTTTCCTTTTGTGGTTACATTGTTTGCTGCTGGTCCCATTAACCCATTAAGCAGCTGACTTTCATACATGGGAGTGCTAAAGGGATGTAAATTGACTGGTAGCTATTAGATTTTACAAACTGATTATTATTGTTGATATTGCATGTAGTAAATATATACCTGTTGTTTTAGAATATTATAATACACAATGCACTTTATAAGACAGAACATATAGAGCACTTTAACTTATAAAAAAGGTTTTAGCAGTGTATATATTTGTTGTTTGACCCATCTGGAGGTTGGCAACTCTGGCACTGTTGTATTAGTTGACGAATATGCAAGTAGGTCTCAAATTCCTTATGGCCACCGGCAGTGAATCCCAGAGTTTAATTACTGGGTGAGAGAAGATACCCTGACTGTTGCTTGTCTTGAATCTCATTCATCACTTCACTGAGAGCTCCCGTGTTCCCTCTAAGCTGAGTTAGTGTGAGCTAGCTCACAGTTTTTTAGCCTCCAGCTCAGGCATTTTTGTCTTCACTCAGGAAGGGATGGCTCCAGAGCAAAGTAATTGATGCAGTAGCCAAATCGCTGGCTCACCACTTTAATGCCAGTAGCTCACAGAGTAGCATTTCTGCTCACAAGACTCCACAGCTTAGAGCGAGCATTGCCCGTGTTGCAGAGTTATGGGAGAGGAAGAAAAATTCCTCTCCACCCCATGCAGAATTTTGTAAACTTCTATTATGTCCTCGAATGCTGCCACTTTCTGTAGGGGAACAGATCTGGATAGAGATTCAGGTAGGTCGCGGCAGAACAAAGTTCGAGCACCTATCAGACCAAACCAAGTTTAATACTGGGTAGAAGCTTTTGTGTGCAGGCAGGTATCTGCAGAAGCGTGCATGCGCACGAAACCTCCTACCCCAGAATTAAACTTGGTTGGTCTCAAACGTGCCGCTGGACGCAACCCTTGATCCGTCCTCTGGAGACCAGCTGTAATTCCGGGAGATCTCTAGCCAGCACCTGGAGGTTGGCAACCCGACTTGCAACCTGTCCTTCAACGTACCCAAGAACAAGGTTTGGACCCAGGTGCGTCACCCTGCGATCCCCCCAGATCTCCGCCCTCCCTCCGGCCTTCCCAGAGGACTCAGCCACCCCCCCCATAGATGGGTGGTGACTCGGCACTCCGCTCCTCCCCACGTGGCCGCCGGAGCTTTTCCGGGAACGCCCCCTGCTACTAGCGAGCCAATGGGGCGCGGGCAGAGCGCTCCGGAGGTGTGCCAACGTTCGATCGCCCTTTGACGCTCCAGCGGCGCCTTCCGGGCGCAGAAAGGTGAGCGGAGCGCGGGCGGAGAGCCGGGCCGAGGGAGCCGGGAGGTCCCGATCCCGCGTGGTGGTGGTGGGGTCCCTCTGGGCTGAACGTGGAGGCGCGTGGGGTGGCCTGGATTCCCCGTTCACACGCCCGGCCCACCCCGGCCGCTGCACGGGAGGACACGCAGTCCGGGCTCTCCGAGAGCCCCTTTGGGAAAGCCGCGTCTCCAACCAACTCCAACCTCCATGAGCGCTGGCGGGATGGAGAACTGCTTGTGCTGGATCAGGCCAAAAGCCACCAGGCGCAGCTCTCACTGCCGGATGCCTTCAGAAGACGGATGGCCTCGCCCTTTGGTTTGCCCCCCCCCCCCCCCGCTGGTGAGCTTTGTGGTCCCCCGCTGCCCATGGAGGTTCCATGAGCTCCAGATATCCGCTGGACATGTTTTAGTTACTTTATTTATACCCTGCCTTGTTCCCCAGTCCTCTGTTTTATCCTCACAACAGCCCTGTGAGGTAGGTCAGTCTGAGAGGCTGTGACTGACCTTAGGTCATCCAGCAACCTTCCTCCATTCTATCCTCACACCAACCCTGTGAGGAAGGTCAGGCTGAGAGCGTGTGAATTGGCCCAGGCTTCCATGGCAGAGTGGGGGGGGGGTTCATACTTGGGTTTCCCCAGATCTTAGTCCAACAGTTTAACCAGGACACCAGGCTGGCTCCATCAAATGGCTGACAGACCTCTCTGCTGTGAGGGTAAGCCTTGAGATCCTAGGTTCAGATCCTTTGCTTTCTTACGTAAAGGTAAAGGTTCCCCTTGCTCGGAAGCCAGTCGAACCCGACTCTAGGGATGCGGTGCTCATCTCCGTTTCCAAGCCGAAGAGCCGGTGCTGCCCGAAGACGTTTCCGTGGTCATGTGGCCGGCATGACTAGACGCCGAGGTGCACGGAACGCTGGCCCCTTAAGTAGATTGCAAAACGAGAAAGCGCCTGTCTTCTTTAAAATAAATCTTAAAGGCTAACATTTATTTATTTGGACTTATATCCCGCCCTCCCCCACGAGCAGGCTCAGGGCAGGTTCCAACAATATAAATAATAATAATACAGTTAAAACCACTTAAGAACAACACTATAAAATAACACAAACTCCTAAAATACCATGTAAATTCTGATCAGATGTCATAGCGATTAAGACGGAGTTAAGAATCCAGGCCACTGACGGGAGGCCGGCCCAGAGGGAGGGGACATCCGCCACTTCAGCCAAAAGCCCAGTGGAAGAGCTCCGTCTTACAGGGCCTGTGGAATTGTAATAAATCCCGCAAGGCCCTGATCTCACACAGGAGCTCATTCCACCAGGTGGGGGCCAGGGCTGAAAAGGCCCTGGCCCTAGTTGAGACAAGTCTGACGTCCCTAGGGCCGGGGACTACCAAAAGATATTGGTTAGTTAGTAGACCTCAGTGCTCTACTGGGCTCATTGATTTTAACCTCTGGGTTCATGGGCTACAGCAAGGGTTTTGTGTCTGAGTACAGACTCCGTTAAGGAGCTGCGGTGGCTCAAGTGGTTAAGACGCTGAACTGCAGGCTGTGGAAGGTCAGTAGTTCAGCAGTTTGAGACCCGGGTGTGCCACATGACGGTGTGAGCTCCCGTCTCTAGTTCCAGCTCCTGCTAACCTAGCAGTTCAAAAGCAAGAAATTGCAAGTAGATAAATAGGTACCACTTCAGTGGGAAGGTAACAGCGTTCCGTGCGCCTTGGTGTTCAGTCATGCCGGCCACATGACCACGGAAACGTCTTCGGACAGCGCTGGCTCTTCGGCTTGGAAACGGACATGAGCACCGCAACCCTAGAGTCGGACTCGACTGGCTTTCGAGCAAGGGAACCTTTACCTTTTACCTTACAGACTCCGTTAGTCAACCTGTGCCTCCAGGCGTGAGACGTTTCCTTCATTCTATGGCAGCTTCTCTTGGTCTGGGGCCCTTCCCGGCGATTGGCGCTTCATGGCCCGCCACAGCAAGCTCCAGCTGCAAGTCCTGAGCCTGTACCGAAGCTTCCTCCGGGCCGCCGAGGACAAGCCGGGCTTCCTGCCCCGGATTCGGGCCGAGTTCCGGAAACACGCCCAGATCCCCCGGGCGGACGTCATGCACATAGAGTACCTCCTCCGGCGTGGACAGAGGCAGCTGGAGCAGCTCAGAGACGTCCACACCAAGCAGATGGGTGTCTTCATCAAAACGAAACGGGAGGAGTAGAGATGTAAAATTTCCAGAAATTTTGAAGCTCGGGAAAAAACCCATTTTTTTTTTGAGAAAAAACGGAACTTTTTGGAAATATTGAAAAAAAGCTACATTAGCACTTCTTTTTTCTTTTCCAGAATGAAAGTCATTCTGTTACTTTAGGGAAATAAAATATGACTATGCACATTTTGGCTTGGCATGAAATTATCACAACTATCATATTAAAGATATAGTGTACTCAAACAATTCTTACAAACAGAATACCCACCCACATGCAAAAACAAAACTGAAACCTTTTTCTTTTCCTGTGACAATAGCACCTCCTAAAGGAAGAAATGCATCTTGTTCTTGCCTTGGAGAGTTCAATTTGTAACCTAGGACTTGCTCGTCCTCAGTGCACAGAAATTAGATCAGTCTGGTACCATACATATTTTTTAGAAATGATTGGGAAAATATTTGAACACCTTGTCTTAAAATATTTTATTCATCACGTTAAAATAAAACGTTCTGTAATCATTTTTTCCCTTTTTTTCAATTTTTCAGAAAAAAACAAAAAAGGCTATGGGAAAAAACCAGTTTTTCCCCTAATTTTTCTGGGTTTTTTTCTGGGCCTTCACATCTCTAGGGGGAGCAGTGACTCCGGGTCGGGGCCTTATTTAAGGGGGACAAAAACACCTGCCAAGTTTAGAGTTTCTCCGGCCTGCTGCTTTACGGGAGATTCTTCATGGCGATGGATGGCCTGACTCACTGGACAAAAGCCAGAGGACTGCCAAATCCAGCTTTCCTTTGGAGCTGCAGCCAGAGAGCGCTGCCAAGAAGCAGATATCAGCCGGCGTCTCAAGGAGATTGAGGGATACACCTCGAGATTTAATGATTAAAAAAAAACACACCTTACCTTATGGAACTGGCTGTTGAGAATTCTGTTCCGAGACCTCATGCGGAGCCTTGGTTTCCCGTAGCAGGAACGCTACCATGTCCATGTTTGTCTAGAGCCGTAGATGTTTCTGGAGGGCCAAGTACGGCTCCCATGAACCGAAGACTACACAGCTGCAAACAGATGGTGCTTTAAGGCAGAGTTCTTTGAAAAAGTGGAAGCTCCTAATTTGCTGTTAGTGGGAGTTTAAAATAGCAAAATGGGGCACAGGAAGATGTAGCGATGCTGTTTAAACCATACCCTTCTTTTGTCCGTGGACATAACTTTTTGTGCTTTAAGGTAGAGCTCTCTGAAAAAGTGGAAGCTGCTAATTTGCTGTTAGTGGGAGTTCAAAATAGCAAAGTGGGGCACAGGAAGATGTAGCGATGCTGTTTAAACCATAGCCTTCTTTTGTCTGTGGACATAACTTTTAGAGGTTTGAGCCGTCCAGGGGAGTGGCACTTTATATGGTTCATGTTTGTTGGTGAGAACGTATCTTTGAATAAAGGGTTCTTCTAACTGGAATGTAAATACCACATTTTGTGAACCTTTGCTCTGAATAGATTGAGATGGGTCGCCGTGTTGGTCTGTCTGAAGAAGTGAGTAGTGACTCACGAAAGCTCATACTGTGCCACAAATTTTGTGAGTCTTTAAGGTGCTACTACACTCTAGTTTTTTTCTCTGAATGGTACCGCTGTGTCTTTTGAACGAAGGCATGTCAGACTCTTGGTCCATCACTGTCAGTATTGTCTACACAGACTGGCAGTGGTTCTCCAGGGTCTCAAGTAGAGGTCTTTCACATCACCTACTGCCCGATCCTTTTAACTGGAGATGCCAGGGATCGAACCTTTTGGGACCCCCTGTATGCAAAGCAGAGGCTCTTCCACTGAGCCACAGCCTGTCCTTGTAAGTGGCTTGATTGTGCTTTCCCCCAAATAGTACATCCTTAAATGTGGAGGCAGCATTTTCAGCACAGGGAGGCGAGGGATAGAACAAAAGCAATTCCAGTTTTCCATTTAAAATAATACATTCCAGCTCTGCACACCTCACAGGGTGTCTGTTGTGGGGAGGGGAAGGGAAAGGAGTTTGTAAGCCGCTCTGAAACACCTTTGGGTAGTGAAGGGCGGGGTATAAATCCAATCCTTCTTCTGTATGACCAGCTTTCCCCCACTGCTAGGGCTTCACCATACACGTATGAGACAGATCACGAGGACAGCGTCTCAAATGTCCATTTTGAAAAACCACAAGTGCAGAAAAAGAAATCTCACAAACGTGTGTATCTGCAGCGAATTAAATCTATTTGTTTACTTACCTCATTCATAGCCCACCCTTCTCCCCAGGAGGGTCCCAAAGCAGCTTACATCATTCTCATCCACCTCCCTTTTTATCATCACAGCACCCCTGCGAGGTAGGCTAAGCTGAGAATGTGTGACTGGCCCAAAGTTCCCCAGCAAGATTCCAGGGACGAATGGGGATTCGAACCTGGGTCTCCCAGGTCCTAATCTGATACTCTAACCACTACACCACCCTGAGTTTCACCTAGTTATGTTTCCAAATGTTAGTTGTCTTTGGTGTAGCCAGTTTGGTGTAGTGGTTAAGTGCGGTGGACTCTAATCTGGGAAAACTGGGTTTGATTCCCCACTCCACTTGCACCTGCTGGATGACCTTGGGCAAGTCATAGTTCTGTCAGAGCTGTTCTTGAAAAAGAGCTGTTTCTGTCAGAGCTGTCTCAGCCCCACCTACCTCACAGGGTGTCTGTTGTGGAGAGGGGAAGGGAAAGGAGTTTCTAAGCCGCTCTGAGGCTCCCTTGGGTAGTGAAGGGTGGGGTATAAATCCAATCTCTCTCTCTCTCTCTCTCTCTTATAAAATGATATCCTCAGGTTGTTATGTAAAGCATCTACATTATTTTCAGTCCAATGCCATGATAAGTTTCCCATTGCCACCGTTTTAAAGACTGAGGGATATTTCTGCTGCTATACTGGACTTTCATCCCCCTTAGTGGCTATTTCCGCTCCTTCTCTGCTTGTTTCGTTGCTTTAAAGAAAGATTCTTCCGTTTGTTTTGCTAGATTTTATTTGGGGTTTTATTTAACCAGAAAAACTGCTTATAATTCTTATTTATCGTTACATTAAATACAATAAACGTTTATACAAATGTTGAACCGATACTCAAGTCGCAAAACCTCAATCCAGGACACTGCAGATTTGGAACATTTGATCCTAATAGTGTGGCACTTAAAGGAGTTTACAATATTATAATCCATCACATTTTAATTTGAGGGCACAGTGAGGATTCGAACTCGGGAGTCCTTGGTTCTGGGCTCACAGTAGCCACTGTACCAGATTGGCTCTCAGAATCATAAGAACATAAGAGAAGCCAATGTTGGATCAGGCCAATGACCCATCTAGTCCAACACTCTGTCACACAGTGGCCAAAAATACCAGGGGCCATCAGGAGGTCCAGCAGTGGGGCCAGGACACTAGAAGCCCTGTTGTCCCCCCCCTCCAGGACCAAGAATACAGAGCATCACCTGCCCCAACCTAAGAATTCCTATCTATACCTTGTGGCTAATCGAAAATTACTTTAAGAACAACAGATAAGGCCTTTGCTGCCATTGACTTGCACGCAGTCAATTGGTGCGTCTGCCCCTTTAAAAGCGCATATTACTTCTCTCCACTGAAAGAGGAAGTCAGTCTGGTGCCGTCCTATGAATTCCCCTCATCTCTATGGCTGCATCCTGCGAGACAGGCGCTCTAACCACAATCAGCCAATGGGGTACTCGAAATAAGGGTAGGCGGGACAAAAGAAAACTACACTTATCCTCATATCCAGACACGAGCGCAAGCCCCGGTCTTACTCCAGAGCGACAACCGCCTCGCCCAATCGCTGAGGCAACCGTAGCCTCTTTCTCCGCAAAAGGGCGGCCCGCTTCAGGTGTGACAGCCCGGGCAGCCAATGGGCGCTAAGCCCCGCCCTGCTCGGCCCGGCCCCTCTCTGAGGCGGTCTCCACACACCGGCGCTTCTCCTGCGACGCCGCCATGGTGCTGAGCGGCGGCTGGTGGGGCCGGGCTGTGGCGCGGGCGAGAGGGGCAGGCGGCTTCCTGAGGGGGGAGGCCTGGCCCTGGAGGGCGAGGGCGGCCAGGTACAGCTCGGGGCGAGGGCCGGGACCGCCGGCCGTGAGCGAGCTGGACAAGGCGGACGCCTGGCTCCTCAGGAAGGCTCACGAGACCGGTGAGGGGGCGGGGCCAGAGCGAGGGGGCGGGGCCGGGCGTGAAGGGTGGGCTAGAGTGCTGCGAGGGGGCGGGGCTTGGGGAACGTTGGGCGTACCCGGGAAGGGTGCCCTCGAATGGCATTCTGGGAAGGGAAGGCGGCTTTGACTTTTGGAAGCCTGTGGTTGCCGTTGCCAGCCTCCAGGTGGGGCCTGGAGACCTCCCGCTTTCACCACTGATCTCCAGCTGACAGAGACCGGCTCCCCTGGAGACAACGGCTGCTTTGAAGGGTGGGCTTTATGGCATTGTAAAATGCTGAGGCCCCTCTCCCTCCCGGATCCACCCCCAAAGTCTCCAGGTATTTTCCAACCCAGACCTGGCAACCCTACCCAAGAGTGGTGTAGTGGTTAGGGCACTGGACTGAGGCCTGGGTTCGAATGCAGAGTCTGGACCGAGGCCTGGGTTCGAGTGCAGAGTCTGGACCGACGCCTGGGTTCGAGTGCAGAGTCTGGACTAAGTCCCGGGTTCGAGTGCAGAGTCTGGACCGAGGCCTGGGTTCGAATGCAGAGTCTGGACTGAGGCCTGGGTTCGAGTGCAGAGTCTGGACTGAGGCCTGGGTTCGAATGCAGAGTCTGGACCGAGGCCTGAGTTCAAATGTGCAGCCACCCAATATATGAGTTGGCTGAGCAAGACCCACACAAGCAGTCTCTCTCTTAGCTCCTTGTAGGAAGGGTGACTTAGTGAGACAGCATGGTGTAGTGGCTAGAGCAGTGGTGGCGAACCTATGGCACGGGTGCCAGAGGTGGCACTCAGAGCCCTCTCTGCGGGCACGCGTGCCCTCGCCCCAGCCAGGCCCAGACCATCATTAAAGTGTCGAATTCTCTGCCAAATAATTTTAAGTAAATGAAAGCATTTGGGATTGCTTTCCTTACTTTGTTTGGATCATCTTAAGTTAATGTATGAGTTGTTTCTTCTCAAGTAAAACCTCAGTATTCATGTTAAATGGCCGTGTTGGCACTTTGCGATAAATAAGTGGGTTTTGGGTCACAGTTTGGGCACTCGGTCTCTAAAAGGTTCGCCATCACTGGGCTAGAGTGTCAAGACTAGGATCTGGTAGACCCAGGTTTGAATCCCTGCCCTGCCATGGAAGCGTGTGGGATGACGTTGGGCCAGTCACACACAGTCTAGCCTACCTCACAAGGTTATTTTGATGTTAGGAGGAGAGGGGAACGATGTAAGCTGCTTTGGGTCCCCTTTGGAGAGAAAGGCAGGGTATAAATGAAGGGGGGAGAAAGGCAGGTTATAAAATAAATAAAGGGGCGTTCTTTTCTCCTCTGGAATAAATAAATAATTGTGGAATGAAAAGTGTAATAGGTGGGTAAATAGTTCCCCCCCTCCTTAGGGTAATCCCTCTTGGTGTGTGTTTATATGAAGAAGAAGAAGAGGAGATTGGATTTATACCCTGCCCTTCTCTACCCAAAGGAGTCTCTGAATGGCTTACAAACTCCTTTCCCTCCCCCTCCCCACAACAGACACCCTGTGTGAGGTAGGTGGGGCTGAGAGAGCTCTTTCCAGAACTGCCTTTGAGAGAACATCTCTGAGAGAACTTGTGACTGACCCAAGGTCACACCAGCAGCTGCATGTGGAGGAGTGGGGAATCAAACCCAGTTCTCCCAGATTGGACTCCCCACACTTTAACCACTACACCAAACTGGCTTTCTTCAGAACATTTTTATGTGCGAAGAAGTCCCCCCACCCGCCCAAAATAAGCATCTGGTTCAGATATGGACTTCGCTAGGATAAAGTTATGAAGCAGATACCCCCTCTGGCCTTGTGGGTATCTTATACGCTGCCGGCTGAGCCTGTGTACAGCCAGTCGGTGTGGTGTGGTGGTTTAGAGTGTTAGACTAGGAGCTGGGTTCCGATCCTCACACTGCAGCAAAGCTCACTGGATGGCCTCCTGGGCTGATCATGTTCAGTCTAGGCTTCCTCACAGGGCTGTTGTGAGGCTAAAATGCGGAAGGAAGAACACAACCCTGAGCTCCTGAGAGTGGGATAAAAATTGTACTGGACAGACTAAACTGATCACAAAAACAGTTAATTTTGTGTTAAATCAGTTGGGGGGAATTAGACAGTGTGCAACCACACAGTGTGCGACTGCAATAAAAAAGGCGAACGCTATGCTGGGGATTATTAGGAAGGGAATTGAAAACAAATCAGCCAGTATCATAATGCCCCTGTATAAATCGATGGTGCAACCTCATTTGGAGTACTGTGTGCAGTTCTGGTCACCACCAATGTTCCCTCTAAACTGTGGAGTCTTGTGAGCAAAAATTCTACTTTGTGAGCTACTGACATTAAAGTTGTGAGCGAGCGATTTGGCTACTGCATACAGTGGTTTGCTTTGGAGTCATCCTTCCTGAGCAAAGACAAAAATGTGTGAGCTGGAGGCTAAAAAACTGTGAGCTAGCTCACACTAACTCAGCTTAGAGGGAACACTGGTCACCACACCTCAAAAAGGACATTACAGCATTGGAAAAAGTGCAGAAAAGGGCAACTAGAATTATAAAAGGGTTGGGACACTTTCCCTGTGAAGAAAGGTTAAAGCACTTAGGGCTCTTTAGCTTGGAGAAATGTCGACTGAGGGGTGACATGGTCGAGGTTTATAAGATTATGCATGGGATAGAGCAGGTGGAGAAAGAAGTACTTTTCTCCCTTTCTCACAATACAAGAACTTGTGGGCACGCCATGAAATTGCTAAGCAGTCGGGTGAGAACGGATAAAAGGAAGTACTTCTTCACCCAAAGAGTGATGAACACATGGGATACACTGCCACAGGAGGTGGCGGCAGCTACAAGCATGGGCGGCTTCAAGAGGGAATTAGATAAGCATCTGGAGCAGGGGTCCATCGGTGGCGAATAGCCACAAGGTATAGCTAGGGGCTCTGGGGCAAGTGATGCTCTGTCTTCTTGGTGCTTGGGGGGGGGCAACAGTGGGAGGGCTTCTAATGTCCTGGCCCCACTGCTGGACCTCCCGATGGCACCAGGTATTTTTGGCCACTGTGTGACAGAGTGTTGGACTAGATGGGCCTTTGGTCTGATCCAACATTGGCGTCTCTTATGTTCTTAGCATCTGTTTTTTTTAGTAACTTTGCAAGCTGCCTCTCTGGAGAGTTTCCTGAGGCAGGAACCTTCCCCCCCCCCCCCCCCCCGCCCATAATCTGGGAGAACTGGGTTAGATTCCCCACTCCTCCACTTTATTACTATTATTTATTCAACTTTTATCCTGCCCTTCCGCCGAAGCGGCTTTATTAATCACAGCATTAATGAAACCAACATAGATAAAACATCAGTCTGGGACTAAGAACTTCCACAGAAATAACAACCAAGACCCTGCCACGGGTGCCTGATAGGTAGTCATTTCCCCTCAATGTGTGGCCTGAGTGAGGTAGTGTAATTAAAAATTGTACTGTGTAAACCGCTCAGAGCCCTTCAGGGGTTGAGCGGTCTAGAAATCAAAAGTATAAATAAATAAATAAAACAACTTTACATAAATACAATAAATATAAGTAAAAGCGGCTCGGTAAATCATTACAACTAGACATCGACCACATTGTTAACTACCTATACAGAGTACATGTCTTGGCAGGTCGGCAAGTTTTTCCTCCTAGAGTCGGATTTGACTGGCTTTTGAGCAATTTATTTATTTATTCATTCAACTTTTATCCCACCCTTCTGCTGAAGTGGCTCAGGGCGGCTCACATTAAACATTAATAAAACTGACATAGATAAAACATTAATCCATAAAACAACTTACATAAATACAATAAATATAAGTAAAAGCGGTTCGGTAAATCATTACGACTGGACCTCGACCACATTGCTAACTACCTGTACAGAGTGCATGCCTTGGTGGGTTGGCAGGCTTGGCTGGCATACCGTCGCTCTCACTGGTATGCCTGGTGGAAAAGCTCCGTCTTCACGGCCCTGCGGAATTGCTGGAGATCTCGCAGGGTCCTGACCTCACTAGGAAGCTTGTTCCAATATGCTGGTGCAGCTAGCGAAAGTGCTCTAGACCTAGTTGTTGTCAGCCTGGCCTCTTTAGGGCCAGGAAGGGTCAGGCGATGTTGCATCCCAGATCTCAGTGCTCTCTGGGGAACATACGGGGAAAGGCGGTCCCTCAGGTAGACAGGTCCCTGACCATATAGGGCTTTAAAGGTCAAAAACAGCACCTTGAAGCGGATCCGGAATGCTATTGGCAGCCAGTGCAACGCCTTTAGCACAGGCTGGATGTGCTCCCGCATTGGGAGGCCCATCAGCAGCCTGGCCGCTGCGTTTTGCACCAGCTGCAGCTTCCGAAGTTGCCCCCAAGGGCAGCCCCATGTAGAGAGTATTGCAGTAGTCCAACCTCGAGGTGACCATAGCATGGATCACTGATGCCAGATCTTTGCGCTCGAGAAAGGGAACCAACTGCCTAATCAGCCAAAGATGCTACTTCCACTTGCACCTGGCTGGATGACCTTAGGCAAGCCGTAGTTCTGATAAGAGCTGTTGTTGAAAAAGAGCCGTTTCTGTTAAGAGTTCTCTCAGCCCCATCTACCTCACAGGGTGTCTGTTGTGGGGAGGGAAAGGGAAAGGAGTTTGTAAGCCGCTCTGAGACACCTTTGGGTAGTGAAGGGCGGGGTATACATCCAATCTCTTCTCCTCTTCTTCCTCCTCCTCCAGCTCCTATCACCATTCTGAAGAAGTAGGCTTTTCAGTTTCCTGGCTTTTGTTTCCTCCTCAGATTCTTGGTCAATTGCACTCGCTTGGAGACTCATTAGCTCTGCCTCCTTAACACAGAGACTGGTTCTGCCTTCAGTATGTAATTTCCCAAGTGTGGGCACAGATAGTGTAAATCTTTGATTGATTGAGGTTGTGGGGTAGCCACGCTGTCTCAGTGCAGAACCCCCCCCCCCCCAAACAAAAAAAAGCCAGGGAAATTGCCTTTTATTAAGACGTGTTCCGGGTTGTTTTGGTTGGCGTGTTAACAAAATGCATTCCTTGGCTTTTCGTTTTGGGGTTGAGAATCGCGATCTGCTGTTTCTTGGCGAGGATATCTCGTTGCATCCCACGGAACCGAGTCCCACATGGTCTCACTTCCTGGGATATACATCCCTGCACAGGAAGTCCCTCCGGGTGACTGCGGTTCATAAAATCACAGCGGGTTAAATTAGGTTTTTTTCCTCCCCCCTCCCCCTGTTCTTGCTTCTCTTCAGGGTTTCTTTCTTGGTTTCGGAATGGCTTGCTGGCTACCGGCGTCGGCGTGATTTCTTATGTGCAGAGCGACATGGGACGTGAAGCTGCGTACGGTAGGTAAAGCAACAATAATTATGGGATGGCGAGATGTTAACAGAAGAGGGAGGACTTGGCCGCAGCGAGAGAGGCAAATGTTAGTGTTATAGGAGTTCAGTTTCCAAGAAGGAGATTCCCCCCCCCAACTCTTTGCTGAGGCAGGGTCCAACCCAGGGCACAACGAATGTTTTGTGAGTTTGCAGGTCATTTCTTAGTTCAGCCAGGGCCTCGGTACGTGGCGTTAGGCCTCAGCTTCTTCCTCAGCAATATGGTGGTAACACTGTGACCAGGGGTCATTTCGTAGAAAAAGAGGTGCAGGAGCTCATTAGCATAACTCATCAGCATAACTTATTTGCATATGCCACACCCCCTGACATCACCGGAAGTGTGTCAGAAGGCAACACCCACCACTCCGGCTCCGCTGGACTGTTTTGGATTGCTAGCTATGGGGGTGGGGGGGATGTGCAGATCTGTCCTTGCAGAGGAGGGAGAGCTTGTACCTGAATAAAACTTGGTCTTAAAGGTGCCACTGGACTGTTTTGGACCGGGGGGCGGGGCTCTGCAACTTACCTGGCTGCTTCTTGCTCTGACTGAGGGCTGCTGGGAGCAGGGGGTGGGGCTTGTTGCATGTGCCCGCCCCCTGGGCTCGTTACTGCTGGAGCTCCGCTCCTGTGCGCTCCTGCAGGAAACGACCCCCGACTGTAACTATCTTTCAGGATTTATTTAAAAAACATTTTGGGGCTGGCCTTTCCCCAGGGAGCCCAACTCGGTTTCAGGATTTATTTAAAAAACATTTTGTGGCTGGCCTTTCCCCAGGGAGCCCAACTCGGGTAGCCGTCACTTAAATCAAAAAACCCGAAGTATTTAAAACCGTTGTCGTACACCGTAATAGCCCAGACTTAAGCAAGTTCCTAAAATGCATACAAAATGCCCTCTGAAATAAGCCCGTTTTTTCAGCTCTGCTATCAGGAAAGGAACTGTTTGTTTCCACATCCAAGGGAGTTGTTGGGTAGTTGTGGGGCAGCTGAGAGAAGGCATGGAACGGAAGAGATAAGGACATAAGAGCCTTGCTGAATCACAGAATCACACACAGTCGGAAGGGTCCCATCCGGGCCATCCAGTCCAACCCCCTGCTCAACGCAGGATCAGCCTAGAGCACCCCAAACAAGTGTTCGTCCAGCCGCTGCTTGAAGACCGCCAGGAAGGGGGAGCTCACCACCTCCCGAGGCAGCCAATTCCACTGCTGCACAACCCTGGGTGTCAAAACGTTTTCCCTAATATCCAGTTGGTATCTTCCACCCTTACTTTAAACCCATTCTTGTGAGTCTTGTGAGCAAAAATGCTACTCTGTGAGCTACTGGCATTAAAGTTGTGAGCGAGCGATTTGGCTGCTGCGTCGATCAGTTTGCTCTGGGGCCCTCCTCCCTGAGCTGAGACAAAAACGTGTGAGCCAGAGGCTAAAAAACGGTGAGCTGGCTCACACTAACCCAGCTTAGAGGGAACACTGCTCTGGAGCCCTCCTTCCTGAGCGAAGGCAAAAAAATGTGCGAGCCGGAGGCTAAAAATCTGTGAGCTCACTCACACGAACTGAGTTTAGAGGGAACATTGCCGTGTGGAAGACCGGTGCTGACGCAGACTTTGTCCTTGGGCTCTGCCCTGTCTGCAGCCGGCCTTTATGTTAAATTTGTAGCAGCTAGTTAGCGGCGACAGTGCCCCCGATGGAGTCGGCCGATGGACTAGAGGATCTCGGAAGGAGTGACCCTGGCGTCTCCAGTCGTGTCACGTTCCGCGAACGGCCTCCAGCGGGGCTTATCTTATCGCTCTCAGAAGTCAGACAGGGATGGTTTCGGCTCCCGGGTTTTCATAATCACCTTGGACACGCTCCGGCAAAGAGGTGGAGAACGAGCAAACCTTACTTGCTCCCTCTAGCTATGGAATCCTGTGAGCAAAAATTCTACTTTGTGAGCTACTGGCATTAAAGAAGAAGAGATTGGATTTATACCCCGCCCTTCACTACCGAAAGGTGTCTCAGAGCGGCTGACAAACTCCTTCCCCTTCCCCTCCCCACAACAGACACCCTGTGAGGTCGTTGGGGCTGAGAGAGCTCTTGACAGAAACTGCTCTTTTTCAAGGACAGATCTTATCAGAACTATGGCTTGCCCAAGGTCATCCAGCCAGGTGCAAGTGGAGGAGTGGGGAATCAAACCCGGTTCTCCCAGATTAGAGTCTGCGCACTTATCCACTACACCGAACTGGCTCACATTAAAGTTGTGAGCAGGCGATTTGGCGGCTGCATAAGTGAGTTTGCTCTGGAGCCCTCCTTCCTGGGCTAAGGCAAAAATGGGTGAGCCGGAGGCTAAAAACCTGTGAGCTAGCTCACACTAACTCAGCTTAGAGGGAGCACGGCTTGTAACTCCCCCTCCCCAACCCTTGACATTTGGAGGATTGGGACCTTTCAGGCTGCGGCGACATGATTACTTCACCTGCATTGCGACATATGTGTGTGTGTGTAAACAGGCCTGAAAAAGAGGAAGCGAGTAATAACGGCAGCAGGGGCAGGTTCTTGAAAGGGAACTGTGGAGAAGAAGAAGAGGAGGAGGAAGAGATTGGATTTATACTCTGCCCTTTACTTGGGGTCTCTTTGGGGGTTTTCAAACAGAGGCTGGATGGCCGTCTGACAGCAGTGCCGATTCTGCAAACTTAGGCAGATCACGAGAAGGGAGGGTCTGCATCTGTGCTCAGTTCTCGCGGCCCTTTCTCACACGCCCAGGGAAATGCCATTCACCACTTTGGGGTCAGGATACAGTGTTTCCTCTAAGCTGAGTGAGTGTGAGCCAGCTCACAGTTTCTTTAGCCTCCGGCGCACGGATGTCTGTCTCCGCTTGGGAAGGAGGGCTCCAGCGCAAACCGATTTATGCAGCGGCCGAATCGCCGGCTCACAGCTTGAATGCCAGTCACTCGCAAAGCAGAGTTTTTGCTCACAAGACTCCACAGCTTAGAGGGAGCCTTGGTCAGGAAGCCATTGTTGTCCAGGCCAGTTTGGCCGGGGATCCTGGAGGTTTTTGTAATCTTCTGGGCCTGGAACAGGGGTCATTGGAGGTGTGTGTGTGTGGGGGAGGTATTTGTGAATTTCCCGTATTGTGCAAGGGAGTTGGACTAAATTACCCTGGAGGTCCCTTCCGACTCTATGATTCTCAAAGCGCTTTACCATCTCCTTCCCCTCCCCACAACTGACACCCCGTGAGGGAGGTGGGACTGAGAGACTTTGGGTCAGCTGGGTGACTTTGGGTCAGTCACAAGTTCTCTCAGAGTCAACCAGTGGGCTGCATGTGGAGGAGAAGAGGGGGAACCAAACCCAGTTCTCCCAGATTGGGGTCTGCGCAGATTAGAGTCCAGGCGCTTTCAAGTATGGAAATGGGGGGGGGACACAAAATTCATTGCACCCCGAACGCCCCGTGAAATAAAACGTGTGTGTGTGGGGGGGGCGCACGGAGCGGCTCTGGGTAAGACGTACTGATCAAGGCAGAGGCACCCCTCTCCCCATGGGCAGAGGAAGGTTCCGCCACGGCGATGCCATGCCGTGTGCTGAGCAAGCTGGCATTTCCCTCTTCCTGTTAACAAGAAGGAACAAAAACGTCTTTGGGGTTCGGGAAAAGCCTGCGCTGGGAAGTTTCAGAGGGGGAACTGTATTGGTCTGCCGTGGAACAGTTGGATTTAAGTCCAGTAGCCCTTTATGAGGCCTGCAAGATTCCCAGGGTGGAAGCCTCCCTTCGTTAGACACGGGCAGAGTAGAAAAGGAGATCCGAGTCCTTGTATCCTAGTCAGAAGGTGGGAGAGAGAGAGAGAGAGAGATTGGATTTATACCCCGCCCTTCACTACCCAAAGGTGTCTCAGAGCGGCTTACAAACTCCTTTCCCTTCCCCTCCCCACAACAGACACCCTGTGAGGTGGGTGGGGCTGAGAGAACTCTGACACAAACTGCTCTTTTTCAAGGACAGCTGTGCCAGAGCTTGTGACTGACCCAAGGTCACATCAGCAGGTGCAAGTGGAGGAGTGGGGAATCAAACCCGGTTCTCCCAGATTAGAGTCCGCACACTTAACCACTACACCAAACTGGTAAAGGATGCTTGTGAAGGAGGCAAAGGTGTACAATGCCAGTTTGGTGTCATGGTTAAGAGCAGCAGGACTCTCATCTGGAAGCGCCGGGTTTGATTCCCCACTTCTCCTCCACATGCAGCCAGCTGGGTGACTTTGGGTCAGTCACAAGTTCTCTCAGAGCTGTTCTCTCAAGGGCAGTTCTCGAGAGAGCTCTCTCGGCCCCGCTGACCTCACAGGGTGTCTGTTGTGGGGAGAGGAAGGGAAAGGAGATTGTAAGCTGCTCTGAGAGTCCGAGTGAAGACCGGGGTATAAATCCAGTTCTTCATTGTCATCGGCTTGATTGGAGCGTGTGTGAGGAGAAATGCTTGGGAGCGGAAAATTAGCATCCTCTGCTAGGAAGTGGCCCTTCCTCATTTATTTGGACTTATCCTCTCCTAGGCACTCCATGAAATTAATGAGCGGTAGACTTAGAACAGAGAAAAAGAAGTCCTTCTTCACCCAAAGAGTGATGAACACACGGAATTTACTGCCGCAGGAAGTGGTGGCGGATACAAGCATGGACGGCTTCAAGAGGGGGACTGGATAAACATATGGAGCAGAGGTCCATCAGTGGCTATTAGCCACAGCATATAGATAGGAACTCACAGGCTGGGGCAGGGGATGCACTGTATTCTTTATGCGTTAGTGGCGGATACAAGCATGGACGGCTTCAAGAGGGGGACTGGATAAACATATGGAGCAGAGGTCCATCAGTGGCTATTAGCCACAAGGTATAAGAAGAAGAGATGAGATTGGATTTATACCCTTCACTCGGAGTCTCAGAGCGGCTTACAGTCTCCTTCCCCTTCCCCTCCCCCTTCCCC